TTCCTGCGCGAAATGAAGGAGGGAATCGTTGTTGGATGCCTGCTCAAGGTTGTCGCAATGGCGAGCGATGACGAGGGATTCACGCTCAGCGTGACGAGCAAGCTCAGGGAGTTTACGGCGCTCGGATACCCCTCACACGTGCTTAATGGGGCTATCGGGCGCGCGTTTGCCCGGACAAGAGACGAGCGGCTCCTTCGGGCCAGACTATGTTCACAACGGTGGGAGGCCAACCTCTAGCCATGTGAACCAAAAAGAAAAATATATTCTCAAAGCCAGTCAGAGCACCGTCCAAAGGCGGGTGCTGTCGACTAAGGGACAATCTTGTCTGTCGGCAGCCGAACTTGTGATGGGACACCCTCGGAATCCAACTGCGTACTACTTGGCTAGCACGCTATTGGCATACCGACGGCTAAGGCCGAAATCGGTTCACACCTGCTCTTGCAGGTGTGAACACAAAGGATTCGCTGTATCTACTCAACTGCTCCGCTTACACTTACCTGTGAAGTGTGAACAGCGGATTTTGAATCAGCGTTCTCCTTGAACGATATCGGTGTCGAAACACCGCTCTGACAGCGCTCACAGCTGTGCCCAGGCCCATCAGTAGTAAGCCTGAGCCGTCCCAGACCGCACTTACCTTGGGTCTGCAAGCTCACACCGGCTCGTGACGGCACGCAGAGGGCTCGAGATTGTCTCCGGTGGACCCCATCCGAGGCGATTGCGAGGGCATTCCGGAGGTCATTATCGGCGCCACCGACCGTGATATGTCTCGTCCCGCAGCCCTCATGCATTAAGTGCATGCATGCAGTCATAATATGTAGGCCTTGTCTCCCGAAGTCTTGAGCAATAGCCGCAAACAACGCTTCGTGGCACTTGCATCGCGACAAGGTCACACGCGGACGCTCCAGCCTCTCAGCGCACCACCTCGCCTTCTCTGTCGTCCTCCTGGCCCAGGCCCATCAGTAGCACACCTGAGCCGTCCCAGACCGCACTTACCTTGGGTCTGCAAGCTCACACCGGCTCGTGATGCCACGGAGAGGGCTCGAGATTGTCTCCGGTGGAGACCCCATCCGAGGCGATTGCGAGGGCTTTCCGGAGGCCATCCGGCGCCACCGACCGTGAAATGTCCCGACCCGCAGACCTCATGCACCAGGCTCATGGATGCAGTCATAATATGTAGGCCTTGTCTCCCGAAGTCTTGAGCAATAGCCGCAAAAGGTGCTTTTTGGCAGTTCATCGCGACACGTCCAGGTGCCGACGAAGCGGCTTCCCAGCTCACCACCTCGCCTTCTCTGTCGCTCTCCTGGCCCAGGCCCATCAGCATCAAGTCTGAGCTCTCCCAAACCGTCCTTATTTTGGGTGATGAAGCCCACTCTGGCTCATACCACGGCTCTTACGGCCTCATACACGCCCGTTTCACCCACAGACACCGCCGGCACGCACTCCCACTTCACACATGCTCAAGCACAACCCCACCAAAGCACAGCCCTGCTCAGAATGGGCAAGGGCCACCACTTGGTGACCCAGGTAGCCTCTGGCTCGCCACTGCACTCGGCTCCTCTGCAGCTGTCTCGGGCTCTCCCCACGACAGCAGTCAGCACCCCGACGGCAAGCTTTGACGCCCGTGTGGTGGGCCTGCTGTGTCCACAGCCGCCCCTCACATGCAGCTCGTACCATGACTCGACACTGGGCCCTCTCATCCCGGTAGTGGCGGCGTGTGTGAAGGATGCGCGGCCGAGCCGCTGGCTGGCGCCACTTGAACGTCCGAGAGCAGCCTCCAGGAGGCGGAATGGGTCGCGGTGCATGTCGCCATCGGCCTCCGGGGGTGGGCCCGGGGCCAGGCCACTCTCGGCGCCCGAAATACCCGGCGCAGAGCCCGGCATTGGGGCCGCGCGCGGCGCTGACACAACCCGTACGACGTACGGGTTTGAGGGCGCCCGCCCAAGAGCCGAAATAGGCCTTTAAAAAAGTCCGGCGCGCCGCACTGCTCTGACCCCTCTCGCCACTGCTCGCCACTGTCGCCTCGGTTGCCGAGGCTGCCGCGCACCCGCGCGCCCGCGTCGCTGCGCGACTACGAACTGCACCAGCTGGGCTCGAACCAACGACCAAAACGTCCCCGACCCGATCGCTGCACCAACTAGGCCACGCCCCAGGCTCGATTTGCAATGCGCACGATACTGGCCGCTCATAAACCACTACTCATTTGCCGAGGCCACGCGGCGCCCCCCCACAGCCAGCCTACCCTCCTATCGCGCCACTCGACGCCCCGCGGCCGCCTCTCGCCTACCGCGCTGCCCTCGCCGGCCACCGCACCGCCCGCGCCCCAGCCTAACCAGCTTTGTGCTCCAGCCTAAAGCTCTGTGCTCCACACCAGCCTAACCAGCCCATGTGCCCCAGCCTAACCAGCAGCCTAACCAGCTCTGTGTGCTCCAGCCCAACCAGCTCTGTGCCCCAGCCTAACAAGCTCTCCAGCCTAACCAGTGCTCCAGTAACCAGCTCTGTGCTCCAGCTAACCAGCTCTGCATCTCGCAACACACACATGACAGGGACAGACCAGGCGCAGGAAAAGGGAGCGGGGCCCGAATCCAAGGGACCACCGCGTCGGGCGGAGGAGCTGTGAACTCAGGACCAGTAGGAAGGCTGCTGGCTCCTGACTCATCCCCCAAATCCCCCACCCCTGTGGCCTGAAACCTTACCATTCCACCACCTCACACACACCCCTCCCCTAGGGCTAAGCAGTACTTCAGGCGAGACGTCGACCACTCCTCGGGAATAGTTCTGTCAGTGGCTGCACTAAGACGCCCACAGATGGCGCGCGGCGCGGGCGGATGACTAGGGGAGAAAAAGCGGAGATCGGCCTAGCTCGCTGGGAGACGTGCGCAACCTAGAGTTGGGAATAGGGGAGAAGTGTCAGTGTGAGGGGAGGGCGTACGCCGGCGTTTTTCGCGTAGAGCTGTTTAACGTTGGGAGCTGAACAGTGTTGCTAGTGTTAACAGTAACAACAGAACAACAGTGGGGCTCCCCAACAACAGTAGCTAACGTTAGGCCGGCTGAACAACAATAAGGAAGGCCTGGCAGTGACCCACGACGACCTCCAGCGTCCAGTGCGGGTAATACCCGAAAATACCCGGGAAAACCCAGGTGTTTTCGGGTTTCACCCGGGCTTTTTGCCGTTTTCCGCTTGCTGGCCGCTGAACACGAACAGGAACAACAGTAACAAACAGTAACAGCATGGGCTGGGGTGAACACTTGAACAACGTTAAGGATTTCAGCCAACACTAGCGCAACTGTTAGGCCCAAAGGTAATGTTAAACAACTCTATTTTGTTTTTTGTCTTTGAAAACTGAACAGTTTTTTTTTACTGTTAACACCTGCAAAACTGTTCAGCTCTTAACGTTAGGCAACCCTACCGGCGGCCGCGTCGATCTCTCTCCTCGAGTCTCCCTCACGATCACCCGTCATCCTAGTCTAGAGCCCTCAGCTTTTATTATTACATCTCTCTCGATCAGAGCTCCTCGTGCAGAGCATCGTCTCGAATTAGGTCGGCGACAAGCCGACGCAGGCCTGGCGAGCGCTGCAACGGCTCACGCAAGGCGGCTGGTTCGAGTCGGCAGCTCGAACAGAGCAGAGGGACGTGCCTCGACGCGTCGGCGGGACAGGACACGTGCTGGCCGTCGATGAAGAGCGCGTGGTGGCCGTCCGCACGCTCAATGAACGCGAAGATCGCCGTCTCGCCGTGCCGCAGCGCTGGTGCGTCCGGTGCGCCGCACGCGATCGCCGCCACCACCCCGTCCGGGCCGTCCAGCCCCCCGTCGCACGGCAGCTCGCCTGCGACAACAGCCCCCAACTCTTCCGACGCACCCCCCTCTTCCACGGCCTCGACGCCGGGCGGCGCAGCGGCAGCCCATGTGGCCGAGAGCGCCCTGACCGCCTCGCTCCGCATCCCGGGCGCGCGCCGCCTCGGCTGCGTGAGGACGCCGCCGAGCCACGCCTCGAAGCTCCGCTCGTCGTGGAGCGCCGCCTCGAGCGCAGCCGCGACGGTCTGTCGAGCGTGCGCCACAGACTCCGGGCTGATGCGCCCGCGGCGCTCGGTTGATGGCGGGGTGGCCTCATCGCCGGCCCAGAGCGCATCCGAGGCGAGCGAGGCCGCAGAGTGCTCGACGAAGGAGCGCACAAGCTCAGCGTCGGTCGGCGCGCGGAAGCCGATGGAGTAGGAGAGGCACTGCTCGTCGGTCGAAGTGCCGCAGTGCGCGTAGCGGGGCGGCAGGTAGAGCGCGTCTCCAGGCTGCAGCGTGCTCGCCTGGTCGGACGAGAAGTCCGCGAGGACCCGCACGTCGAGTCCGGCGTGCAGCCTCTCCGCTGCTGCATCGCGTGGGCGCGCCTCGATCTCCCAGCGCCGCTCCCCAAGGCCCTGGAGCAAGAAGACGTCATAGTTGTCGATGTGCGCGCCAATCGAGCCTCCCGGCGGCGCGTAGGAGACCATCACGTCGTCGAGCCGCCAGCGCGGCAGAAAGTCAAAGAGCTCACGCAGCTCCTCCACCTCGGGCGCAAACTTCTCCGCCTCGTTGACAAGCAAGGTCCACTTGCCACCCTCACGCGCGCGCGCCTCGAGGGCGGCGCGACTAAAGGGACCATGAGTGAGCACCCAGCCCTTGTCCTCCTCGACGAGGCGGGAGGCGGCATCGGCGGCGCACGCCAGCTCGAGGAGGTCGCGAGGGGCGAACGGACAGCAGCGTCGCGTCTCATCCGCGTCGAGGAGGCGACGGATGAGGACCGGAGCCTTGCCCCAGAACGTCGACAGGAAGCGCTCGCGGGAGGCGGCGCCGAAGCCAGCGAGTTCGGGTATGGCGCGCCGCGGTACGCTTCCCACGCAGCAGATCGCGGCGAAGGCCAGGCTCATCTCTTGGTGGCGAGATGTGCTTTATCCGGTGGCCGCAGGGACGGCACAGGCGGCGGCATGGCCATTTGTGTATGCGCCGCGGATTTTCTTTTTTTATGCTAGGAGGGACTTCATGAAGTCACTTAGTGACTTCTCGAAGTCACTCGCCCCGCGCGCGCACAGTACGTGCTCTCGCGGCCGGCCCGTGCACCGTGCGAGCCCCGCGGACTCGGCCCCAGTCGGGCCGCGATGGGAGAGGCTCCTAGAGCAGCCTGGGCGGGGTTCAAACGGCTTTGGAGCACTTGGGGCACTTGGATGTTTTCTCCTTCCCCGACGAACTTGCGATTGCGGTCCTCGTACTGAGGGAGGGTGTAGAGGATGTAGAGTGTAGAGCGCTGTAGAGCTGTAGAGATGTAGAGCGCTCTGGAGCGCTGTAGAGCTGTAGAGCTCTACATCCGCCGCGGGACGAGGCGGGTGCGTTGTAGAGCGATGTAGAGCGCGATTTTGTTGTAGAGTTTGTTGTAGAGGCTCTACAGCCAAACCGCCGGGAAGGCAGTGACTCAAAGAGGTCGAACCGCACTAATGGGGTGTCTCCGAGCTTACTGGAGCTCTGGTGGACGGCCCTGACTATCGCTGACACACAGAGAGTCACTCTGACGGCACACCAACACCCTATAACTGCGTCATCACCAGCCTGCCATGCGTCGCCGGTGCCGCATTCGTCGCAGTGCTTCTTTAGCAGGCGGTGGACTGTCGGCTGCGAGGACGGTCGCATTTGCGCGAGGCGAAGCGAGCATTCAGACGCGTTGCATGCGCCATGACTCGCGCCAGCGCGTGCGGGAGCTCCTGGCTGAGCGTTGAGTCCAGGCGAGTTGCGCTGGCCACGATCGCTACGCCGAGCCGAGCTGACGCGCCGAGGCGCCGGCCAGTCGCAGCCGTGAGGCATGCCACAGCAGCAGAGGCACCTCCTACCCATTGGGCGGGCAGACAGAAGGCCAGGGCAGCACTGGCAAGTGCAACGCGCCTCATGTCGGAGAGCGACCGTGCCTCGTTCGCCGCTTATGATGTAGAGTTTGTTGTAGAGATTTCACGTTGTAGAGCGCCTCTACATCGCTCTACAACGCACCCGCCTCGTCCCGCGGCGGATGTAGAGCTCTACAGCTCTACAGCGCTCTACAGCGCTCTCCAGCGCTCTACATCTCTACAGCTCTACAGCGCTCTACACTCTACATCCTCTACTCTCTACACCCTCCCTCAGTCCTCGTACGAAGAGGCGCACACGGCCTGCCTCCGCACCGCTACGCGATGACACTCAAGCGCCGCAGTCCCGGCGACATGCAGGCACCCAATGCTGTGCCGGAGGCTGACTGGTCGAGACGGTCGACCTCGTCGTGGCTCTCCCGCGCGCCGCCGCTTCTCGTGTGGACAGCTGGTTCGGCTCGGACGCAGTGGACAAGAGGACCACCACATTCGCTGGCACACCGCGGCCGACGCTGTCTGCGCTCCCACGCAAGCGCCGGTATCCAAATCGAATGCATGCGTTACTGCGCTTACTGCGCGCCGCCGCCTACCTCAGACTCTCAATACCAATGCGCACGCTCCGGCACTGACTACATTGGTCTGCGCGAATTCGATGCGCCGTGCGACGTTTGAGGCGGACAGCCCTAGGCGGCGCGGCGCCTGTGCTCGTGTTTAGTGTGCTCGTGTTCAAGCAAGAAGCATCAGTGCAGGTACATGCGGTCCTACCACTGCACACAGTGCTTCCCGGACCCGAGCCAGGTTGGCTATGCGATCAGCCCGGTCGGGACCAAAGCTGGCGACCCTCACCGGCCCTGCTTTGCCAAGCACCTGCTCGAAGAGGAGCCGTCGCATCGGGCGCAGCAGCGCATCCCGCCGCGACGCGGCGATCGACCATCGCCGTACCGGCGACCTGAGCCTGCGCCTGCGCCGGGCCGCCGCCGGCGGCGGCGCCGGCCGCCGCGGCGCCGGCAGCCGCAGTGCCCCGTGCGCGCCGCCGCATCATCTAGAGGTGAGACGGGGTGAGTGGCGAGTGTGCGGCGGCCGGAGGGCGCGTCAGACGACCGCAACGGCGGCCCACATGCGGAGTGACTTTTAGAAGTCACCCCGTTTCGGGCGTCTCACCGGCGTACTTGAGGTGCTTCAGACGGACGCAGTGGGCTGTCAGCAAGGTAGGTGAGTGTCTAGGGGTCGTCTCTAGGCTGGTTGGCCTTGATTTGGATCAAAGATGGCCGCCCGCAAGAAACGGTCGCGATGCCTCGTGTGAACGCTGTGAAGAGTGACTTCTCGAAGTCACTCGGTCCTAGGGAGAGACAGCCAGTGCGCGCCAGTCCCGTGCCCAGTGTAATAAATAAATATAAAAAAACGGGCACACCAAACAAGGGGTGGGAGAAGGACAGGGTCCCCACCTGCGCGAGCAGGATCTTGTAAGGACGATCAGGGACACACACAGGGGAACGGGAGCGGGGAGCGCATCGCGACGCGTGCCCAGTGTTGTGCGAGCGAGCTTTTGTAAAATCCTCCGAGAAACCCATCGGGTCGCTCCTCATCGCAAACCCTGTCAGCAGAGTCCTCCTACGGGAATAAAAGAAAGAAAGAAAACAGACAACCCAATGGAGGGAATATATGTAAGAGCCGCGGCTTGAAAATTCTGTGAGTCTATCTGTAAGCGCGGGTTAGCGCGGGTTAGTGCTCACTAACCCGGCGCGGGTCAGCACGGGTCAGAATGGGTTACCATAACCCGGCACTAACCCGGCACTAACCCGGCACTAACCCAGCGCTAACCCATGCGGCTGGGGGGCATACGTCAGCATGGGTTTGTTTGCTCCGGGTTAGGGATGGGTTAGGGCCGGGTTAGTGCAGTGCACCCGCGGGTTAGAGCTGGTTGGCGAGATGAAACGGCTGCGGCGGGCACCCGAGCCGACCTCCGCGATGGAGCCTTGGCTGCAGAAGGCCGTGCATGACAAGGTGCTCATTGAGAAGAGCACCCGCGTGCATGACAAGGCGCAGCCACACTAACCCAGCACGGGTCAGCACGGGTTAGAACGGGTTACCAAACCCGACGCTAACCCGGCACTAACCCGGCACTAACCCGCGCTTACCTCGACTCGCAATTCTCTTGTTCGCCGCGCGAGAGCGCGCCTCATTCATCTCTCGCCTCCGCCGAATGTGGAGCCTAGCTCAGCTCTTCATACTCGCGCTCGAAGCGCAGCTCGCCTGCTCGCTAGTGCTCGGCCCGGTGCCGCGCCTTCCGCTCCGACGCGCAGGTGGCGATAGCTGCACGCTCGCTTCGTTCAGCATGGTGGAGGGCGGTCAGGGCGGCAGCTCAGACAGCTCGGAGGTGCGCAAGTCGGCCATCCTGGCGGAGCTGGCACGCGCCGAGGGAGCGGAGAGCGACGGGGCGCGCCGCGCCGACGACGCTGACGCCGAGGAGGGCGCTGTCTCGCCGCAGGCGTGGGTGCGTGACGAGTGGGCAAGGCTGCGGCGCGGGGAGGGCGAGGTGGCCGAGTTCCTCAAGGAGTTTGTGCCGACCTTCGCCTTCTTCCTCGCCATCCGCATCGCGCTCGTCGAGCCGCGCTACATCCCATCCCTCTCGATGTACCCTCGTTGCTCGGCGCAACACTGCCCGCTCAAAACACACCCGCGACACGATCCTCGTCTCCGCCAAGGTACCCCACGCTCGACATCAACGACCAACTCGCCGTCGAGAAGGTGTCCAAGTGGAACCGGCCTCCCCGGCGTGGCGAGATCGTGGTCTTCGACCCGCCCGACGCCTTTTGGCGCCTGTCGCAGCGGGAGCGCGACCCCAGAAGCTAAATGCAGATCTTTGTATTCCAACCAGCGCTCGAGAGGACACGTTTTCAGCTGTTGTCAGCCGCATTCACAGCTGTATTCGCTGTACTCGTAGCCGCGTGTATGCACGCGGTGCTCCGAGTACGCGGCACGAGACCGTACTCCCGCCCCAATGTTGGTGTACTCACACTTGTAGGAGCGCGACGGCGAGGCGCTCATCAAGCGCGTCGTCGCCGTGGGCGGCGACACAGTCGAGGTGGGCGACACACACTCCGAGACGCCTCCGAGACGCCTCCGAGACGCCTCCGAGACGCCGCCACGGCGCGTGCCGGGCCGCATTGAACGACGCCGCCGCAAGACGAGAACGGCTCCGCCTTGCACGCCCCAGGTGCGCGGCGGCCGGCTCTACGTGAACGGGCAGCTGCAGGACGAGAGCTATGTCAACGAGCGGGCGGCGTACGAGCTGCCGCCGCTGGCGGTGCCACCGGGCAGCGTCTTCGTGCTGGGCGACAACCGCAACCAGTCCTTCGACAGTCACTACTGGGGCTTTCTCCCGCAGCGGAACATCATCGGCCACGCCGTCGTCTCCTACTGGCCTCCTGGCCGGATCAAGGGCCTCGACGGCGTCGCGGAGCGACTCGCGGGGCCGCAGCCTGACCAGGCCAGTGCCCCACTCCTGGAGCGGTGAACCGGGGCCGGTCTCTCCGTCCTTGAGCGCGCGCCCCGCGGCGAGAGGCCTCTCTCGTAGATCTCGACCTTTGTGGTAGCCGGTTTCCTCTACCATCAAGCGCTCACAATAATGAACTGGTCAATACTATCAAGTTGCCACTTGAAAAAGGAGGGTGTAACGCGGCTAACGCGCTCCTGAGAGTGCTGAGTCCACTCTGTTCTCTGTCCACTGTCCTGAACGAAGAAAAATAAAGCGAGATGGCCCGCAACAGCGAACAGCAACAGGGTCGCGCGACTCAGCTCTCAGGGTCGCGACTCGGCTCTCGGGGGGGGTGATAGCACCACCAGCTAAAACACCCCAGCGAGCGTCCCGAGGGGGGAGGCCGCTTACCTTTAGCAGAGAGGGCTAAAGTTGTGTGTACGAGAGCTCGCAATAACTCGCAAGCTTCCGACACGCCACACACGTGGACACAGGACACATGCTCCTACACCGGCGCCAGTGCTACGGGTCGCATTGCCCGTACCTCACCGCGTGCTTGTCGCACCACCGCTTGCGCCAGCGATCGTCTGCGGGAGCGCTGGTCACCTGCGCCCCCTCCGGTGCAAGCACGCCCGAGATCCACGGCACCTTCTCTGGGATGCCGCCCGGCCAGATCTTCTTGTCGACGGCCCACGGCCACACCTCGCGCGGCGAGGCGCGCATCGCCGCTGGGAAGCTGGTGTGCCCCTCGTGCGGGTCCTTGGGCCGCGTAATGTTGGCGTGCTGCTGCTTGAGCCAGCACTCGCCCTGCGTGTGCACGTGGATGTCGAAGGCGAAGCATTGCTTCTCAGGGCAGTACACCCATACATTGCAACCAGGGTTGTTGCCGCACCGCAGCTCGGGCCTTGACGGCCACCAAGCCTTTGCGCTGGAGCCCGGTTTGCCGCACACTCGGTTGTGCGCTTGGCAGGCGGCGCAGCACTCGGCCGCGCTCTGCAAGTGGAAGCCAGGTTTGCCAAGGCCCCAGACAGGTGCTCGCTCGCCCATGTAGTCCGTGTGCAGACGCGCGTGGCACGTTGGATCAGCGACTGCGCCGCTTCGCGTGCTAAGATCGCTTCGTGAGGCCTCCGAAGGAGCCCCAGCCCCTGACGCTTGCGGCTTGCCCTCGTTCGCCGGCGCGCTCACAGGCAGTGGCGACGCGGGAGAGACTGTGGTGGCGGAAGGAATGGCTCGGCTGCTTGGTTCCATGCGAACAATGCGCGGGGCTGAGGATATGGAGGTGAAGGCTAGCAGAGCGAGCCCGAGGAATATGAGAACCGACGCAAGCACCTGCATGTTTTTGGCTGCGCCGAGGGCAGCTCCAAGCCGACAGCGGATGCCAGCAGTGCGGATGCCAAGAACTTGCCCTCGCGACGCCCGCGTCTGCTGGCAAGGACGAATTTCTTTTTCCGCGGATTCTCCGTGGCAAGCCTATCTCGACCTTCCTTCTCTTTTCACGACGCTGGTAAAATTCTCTTTTTCCCTTGGCCCTTCTAGTTTCCCTTCCTTTCTTTCATATTCCACTCGCGCCGCCTACGCCCTTACCCGGGTCGCCGCGCCGCCTTCAGATGCGCCGCACGCGCCGCCCTGCGCCGTCCCTTTGCGAGATGGACGCGCGCGCTCGCTCGCGGGACATTCAACGGCCATGTGCACGCTTCGGCGTCATCGACTCTCATAGTTGGCACTCGTCGTGTGCGCACGCCGCAACGTTGCCCGCGGTGCCAAACTAGGCGACTAGCGAGGCGAGCGCCTCGTCGTCCTTGAGCCGCTTGACGAGCGGGGTGCGGCACAGCGGGTCGCGCCGCCCGGTGACCCCGACCCATCCTGCGGACTTATGCTTCTCGATCTTGCTGCCGCAGCCGGCGCGCAGGCACGGGCAGGTTGAGGTGCACATGGGGCAGACAAAGGCGGCGGCCTCGTTGGCGTGCTCGATGACGCGGTGGACCAGCAGATTGTCGCCTGTGGAGAGACCACAAGCACGTACGGGGCGCGTTCTGCCTCCCGCGAGGCGGGGGGTGGGCGGGAGTCACCGGTTGCCGCGTCGTCGTGGCACTCCTCGTAGATGTTGGTGAGGCAGCGGGAGCACCAGATGAGGGGGCACTGCGAGCAGCCGAGCGGACCCGAGAAGGCGCCGCGCCAGCTCGCCACGCCCTGGGTGCCTAGGGCCCGAGAGGCGGACGTGTCAGGGCGACCATGCTTTTCGCAAGCGCGCGCGCTGCCACGCCCGCACGCGCACAGAGGTGGCACGAGGAGTTGTGCCGCCCCCCGCCGGGCAGGGCAGGCAGCGTCCAGCGCGACTCGGCAACCAAAATCTCTGTGCGAGGGAAGGCCGCGTCGCCGCCCTCCTCGCGGAAGACGCGCCGCTGCCGCTTCTTCCGCGCCGAGCGCTCCACGGCCTCGACGTCCTCCAGCTCGAGGCCGGCCGACAGCCGGTCTGGCGCCGAGCGGCTGCGTGAGGGCTGCACCCGCTGCGGAGGGCCACTCTCGCGCCTGGGCTTGCGGGCCGTCTGGCGCGGTTGGTGGACGCGAGGGCCGATGAGGCGCGGCGAGTCGTCTCCCAGTCCCAGCGCGGCCAGCGCAGCCTTGTTGTCGGCTATGTTCTTCTCGCGCTGGAGCTCGTACTCGCTCAGCCCGGCGCGGGCGGGAGGCATGCTGACCGGGGTGGGAGGCGCGGACGCCGGGGGGGCCTTCGAAGGCTTGACGAACTTGGGATGCACGCGTTGCTCCGTGTCGCCGTCGTCATAGAGGACATCAACCGTGCTGTCGGCGTGGATCTTTGTTGCTTTGCCCGAATACCACTTGGTCCCGACATGCCCACGCGCGGTGGCCTGAAACCGGGCGAGGAGCGGCTCGCCCTCCGACGGCGTCCACCTGGCAGCAGCAGGCATCCCTGATGCCTGTGCCCCGTGCGCCGAAGCACGTGGCTCCCCAATGGCGTCTTCAAATGGGTCTGATACGCTCACAAGAAATCGTCGCGCCAAACTCCCTGTGTGGTGGCGCCGTGCCGTCCTCCCATCCCTCCCTTGGGCTGTCTGTTTTCTTTCTTTCTTTTCAAACTCTCTCTCTCTCTCTCTCTCTCTCTCTCTCTCTCACACACACACACACACACACACACACACACACACACACACACACACACACACACACACACACACACACACACACACACACACACACACACAACACTGGGCACGGGGGAGCTTTGTTGTAAAACTCTCTCTCTCCGGGTGGGTGGGAGAAGCAAGAAGGTCGGGAGAAATGTTGGAGAGAGAGAGAGAGAGAGAGAGAGAGAGAGAGAGAGAGAGAGAGAGAGAGAGAGAGAGAGAGAGAGAGAGAGAGAGAGAGAGAGAGAGAGAGAGAGAGAGAGAGAGAGAGAGATACCCAAACAATTCTAACACTCACACAGTTGTGTTTGTTTTGTTTGCTACCCCGGTGGCCGGTGCCTTTTCGTCTTTCTCCTCAAAAAGCTCGATCGACCATCATTTTATCGCATTGACCATTGTTGTGAACCACGTGGATGGCGTCTTCAAATGCTTGAGAGAGAGAGAGAGAGTTCAAATGCTTAAAAGAACAAGGCAAAGAAATCGTCGGCGCGAGAGGGGAAGGGTGGGGGGAAGATGTTTTCAGCGCTCCCTCTCACAAACACAATAAAGAATGCGGACACCCCTCCGAGCTCCGTAGAATCCCCCTGCGTCAACAGGCAACCAAACGCAGCGCGCGATAAAGCGTGCGGCATCCCTGTGTCTGTCGTGCCGCGTCGTCGCCGGATTGAGGCCTATTGTATGAGGCCTGGACTCGTTTCTCGAAGTTCCGCTCGCAGTCCTACATATACGACACCTAAGAACCAGCAAACAAAAACAAAAAGAACCACCCCCCCACCCCCCAAGATGGGGAGATCTCGCCCATCCTCGCCACCTGGGTTCATGTGCAGGAGATGCCTTCTCGCGGGAGGAGCTCAACACACCTTTACTCTTCGGGAGGGCGTCAAGTTCCACGATGGATCTGACTGGAACTGCGCCGTTGCCAAGCTCAACTTCGACCACGTTCTGTCCCCGACGGTCAAGCAACGCCACGCGTGGCTGGGGACAGAACCGAGCAGCTGCAACAGCGCGGGACAATTTGTCCTCGAGACGAAGAACGCTTTCTACCCTCTTCTTCAGGAGCTCAGCTACATCCGCCCTCTCTCACGTTTGCTGCTGCGACCGCCTTCGCACAGGGCATAGACTCCGATCCCGACACGCACAACTCCTGCAACTCGGGCGATTTCGGGTCCAGGTACGCCTTCATCGAAGACACCGTCACTTGCGCCGGACTCAAGCCGATAGGAACAGGGCCGTTCAAGCTTGCACAGCAGGAAACCAACGCCGACGGAGTCGAGTCGACATCAAAGCCGTCTTCGCCCGCCACGACGACTACTGGGGCGGCGCTCCTGAGATCGAATTCCTGCACATTCGGTACTACGAGACCAGAGCGGCCGCACACTGCTCGGTACCCCCCCTGCACACCTAAGCCCATGGCCGACCCCCCCCCCCCCCCC